ATGGGGTATAGAAATTTGTTGGATAAAAGTATGGAAAAACTTGATTCGGGTACGAGTACAAGACAAATGTCTAACGAGTATCCATATATACCCGAGATCATACACAATTATCATTTTGCTCTCAGTATTTAAAAAAATGTTATTGTGTATATATATATATATATATATATATATATATATATATATACCCTTTTCAAATTATTATATATTTAACTCTTGTTTATTATGTTTCTCATTATTCTATTCTATATAAATCTTGATTTTTAGATATTGTATTGTATTATTTAATTTTATTGATTACAAGCGATAATTGTTGAATATATTCAGTATATTTTTTTTATGAATTTTTGCATAGATTGTGGATATAAATATGTTTAAAATTGATTTTGTATGTGTATACGGATATGTGATTAAATTTTATTGAAAATGGTTGAAAATATTCACCTTGGATACCCGCGGATACTCAAACTTTTGCTTCACAGGTATTCAAGTTTGGGAACACGATCCTACAGAAACGATATCGGGTAATAAAACATACATCTCGAGATATTTGAATCTGATTCAAAGTGGGATATCTTGGAATTTTCGAATATCTAATCCGTAATCAATTTAGATTTTGAGTTGAGATCGCAGTACCATCTCATCATGCCTTTTTTTTCTTTATGTAAATTGATTTTTAGCGAAAATAAAATTCAGTGAACCAGGGGATCATAAGGGACAACCCTATGACCGAACCAAGTTTCATGTCACTGAACTAAAACCTTTCCACAATACCAAACAAATATTTCATTCAAGCATTTAGTCGAGCAGGTTGCATGCGCCATTAAAATTTTATCAAGGCCCAGAAACGTAGGAATAGAATCTAATCTATAGCTCATGAACACAATCTAAAGCCGAAGAAAAAACTCTAAATTAGAAAGCAGAGCGCTAGGAAACAGCTGCAACAAAAGCACAAACAAAATCTATAGTTCATGAACTCACATACTACAAGCGAGATTGAGCAGAATTAACATATCAAAGCTTAGAAGATTTACCTTTCCGAAAGTGAATCCGCAGATGGAGTTCGACGGGAATCTAGCTACTGATCCAACGAAGAAACCGAACCGTCTCGTCGGTGATCGGTTGGATTTTTCGAGAGCTCAGCGATTTAGAGTGTGTAGATTTAGGATTTTCAAAATTTAAACTAAAATGGTTCTAATGAATTAAAACCCCATTAAACGCATAAAATAAAACCAACCTAATGATGAACCCAAATATAATTATTTTTGGGTCACGACCCAATTTGACATGGGCCTATATAGATATATATATATCTATACATCATATCGACACCTTTAAATCTTACACATTCAGACTAATCATCGTTCGTTTTTGATTCACCGCACTAAACTGTAAAAAACTGACCTAAAAGATTGCTCAATCTCCAGAGTAGGGTTTGGATCTCTGATTATTAAATTTTCGTTATACATAGAATTATAAATATACTAATTACAAGATAGATAGGAAATTTAGGTCAAACAGAGTCTCACGTTAAAGACAAAACTAAGATAAATGAATGAGATGATTAGTCATTCTTTTTTGTACTTCAATGTAATTATTCAAGAACTTGAGAAAATAGTAAATAGTTATATTTTATTGAAAACCCCGTGCGTAGACATTGAGGCGAAATATCGAAGTATCCGACAGTAGAAAAGACAACAAATGGGTTAAAAAGAAGTAATTACAAAGTGGGAATCGTGAGTTTGGGGTTTGGGGTTTGGACCAAACATCGACAAAAGACGATTTATGAAGTTGCATGAAAATGGAAAGTTAGGTTATTTGGTCTGAGGATACCCAAACCATAAATAAGCCTTCCATTATTGTGATACCGAAGAAAGTTATCTGACCCTAAGCCCCAAAATAGCGTCCTCTTTTATTATCTCCTGATATTTCTTTATTCTTTCCTTTTTTTTATATATTTTTTAAATTATTGATAAATTAAAATGAGACCCCTCATTTATTTTGTGATAATAATTTAAAAAAATCTATATAAAAATACAGTTTTATTACCCCTTACATGAAACTCAAGCAACGCTTTCCCCTTTCGGCTTATTGTATCATCATCTCATTTCCTTCACACCTAACACTCTGTCTTCTCCAAAATCAGATCTCAGAAACGGAGAGAGAGAGAGAGAGAGAGAGAGAGAGAGAGAGAGAGAGAGAGATGGGAAGAGGGAAGATAGAGATCAAAAGGATAGAGAACACGAACAACAGGCACGTGACATATTCAAAGAGAAGGAAAGGGATGATGAAGAAAGCTCGAGAGATCACTGTTCTATGCGACGCCAAGCTCGCCCTCATAATCTTCGCCAGCTCCGGCAAGATGCACGAATACTGCAGCCCCTCCACCAAGTATCTTTACGTTTTATCAAAAACCCTAATTTCAATTATACGTACACCATTCATATGCCCTTTTATATGTTAACATTGGCCAATAATAACATATTTGTAGAAAGCGAATTTTTTCTATAATGATATTGAATATTTATTAGTCTATCTGATAGCTATTTTTTCCCCAATAGATAAATTTTGTATATCTGCCACTATATATATATATATACTGTTGGATCTTAGTGATATATATTTGCTCGAGCAGCTTGGCTGAGATGTTGGGCACTTATCAGCAGATTTTGGGGAAGAGATTGTGGGATGAGAAGCATGAGGTATAATCACATACCCTTTTTTTAAAACCCAAGTTAATTATATGGTACATATAAATCTATACACGCGCTTATACACAAGAGTTGTGTATGTATATGCATAGATTTTTGTGTAGTGAATCTGAATAAAGTCACTTGGACAGTATGATGCCGTTTCACAAATTGACTGATAGGAAATAGAATGGATCCGAGTATGAATGGGACAAGAACTATGAATCTATGAATCTAAGCGACAGATCCACAAATGGGAATCGTTACTATTTATATATATCTTTTGTATATATCATGATTATTTTTTTTCGTGCACAAAAGGAGAGAAATCCGAATCCAGAAACTATTTTTTTATATACAATTTTGTGGAATTTTTATAATTGATAGATCATATTATTTAATTTTAAACAAAGACAATTATATTCCTTCTTCATTTGCAAGAAAATGGAAACTAAGTCGTCCCCAAGTACCAAATATCTATTTCCTTTCCATTTTTTTTATAGTTAGTGTTATTATAACCTAGGGCTGGCCGGTTCATGATTCAGTTGGGTTTGGTTTTCGGTTCGGCTAACAGACACGGTTTACTTGAGTTTCAGAAAATTATATCCGCAATGGTTAAGTAAAATATATCTTAACCTTTCGTTTTATCCTCCTGTATTTATTTCCGTCAGAGTCTCAGCAATGAGATGGACAGGATCAAGAAAGATAATGACAATTTGCAAATCGAGCTAAGGTGAAACACATACACATACACATGCATATACACGCGCGTGCATATGTACATCCATAGATACTTTACTTCATCACATTCATAGACATGTATGTGTGTGTATATATACATATACAGTGATACATATGTATGTCTTTACATGTGTTTCAGGCGCTTGAAGGGCGAAGACATCCAATCTATGAACTATAAGGACCTAATCGCCATAGAGAGTGTTCTTGAAACCGGCCTTGTTCACGTTCGTAACAGGCAGGCATGATTCTATATCTACATACGTAGATTTAACATATATGATCCATCCATCCATACATACATATATATATATATATGTTATCATTTGTGTATTTATTGTGTAGTGTGTACATTTAGACGTATTGGTTAACGCTATTTGCGATTGCTTTCCTTGTTACAGATGGAATGCCTTAGAGAATTGAAGAGAAGGGTGAGTAATTTCCCATACACAATGAACACATACACTTATTTTATGAAATGCTTACACGATTAATTCGTCAGTTACACCAAAAATAAAATGGATAAAACCCGCTCAAAGAGAAAAAAAAAATTATTGTATAGTGACGAGACTTGCGACGGAATATGATATGACGATTTTGCCATGGAATGCAAACAGTCGCAAAATGTGAATGTCTCATTTGAAACAAAAGTTTCATCCAAACAAAAAAAATTGCCAATTAATATGTATATTTACATGTATATATATATGTGTATATGGTTTGTATTTGTGTGTGTATGTGAATGTATATGTGTATATATATTTGGATGTATGTGTATGTGTGTTTATGTATATATATATGTATATGTGTGTATATGTATCTGTATGTGTTTTATGTATATATTTGTGTGTGTATATGTATGTGTATGTGTATGTGTTTTGTGTATATATTTGTGTATGTGCGTATAGTACATGTGTATGTGTAGTGTATGTATATATATATATGAATGTATGTGTGTTTATGTGTATACGCATGTGTTTGTATGTGTTTATGTGTATATGAATGTGTATGTATATGTATGTATGTGTGTTTATGTGTATGTGTATATGTGTGTTTATGTGTATGTGAACATGTATATATGTAAATATGTATGTGTATATGTATATGTATAGTGGTGGATCTAGAAAAAAATATGAAATGGGGTATTCATTTTATACATATCTTTTATGGGTCATTTGATAATTTTCTTCATAATTTTATGAAATTTATGTAGGAATCATCATTTTTTTTAATTAGAGAGGTGTCTATGCCCCACCCTTCACAACTTAGGTTCGTCTCTGTGTATATAATGTTTTTATACGCATTTTTCTCTCGCTATACGCAAGTGTTTTATGAAGTGATATACGTACATACACACATACATACACGATACATAAACACGTGTGTGTGTGAGAGAGGTTGTCATATGGGTTAGAATTTGAATTTTCAGGAGAAGATGATTGAGGAGGAGAACAGGCAACTGAACTTCCGACTGGTATGTATATATATATATGTATGTATCTGACAACATTTTCTTGATATATTCATTATAATATAGACTCAGTTAAAAGATTAATTTATACATGTTGCAGCAGCAGCAAGAGATGGCCATCGCGAGCAACGCAAGACAAATGGAAAACGGGTTTCCTCAAGGCGCAGGTGCAATGAAGGACTGCGAGGCCGATGACATCCCCTTTGCCTTTCGTGTGCAGCCGATTCAGCCCAATTTACAACACATCGTCTGATGAGATCCATTAATTTGATTATAAAACCGATGATATATATATTCGATCTGTATGTTACCGACACCTTACGATATTTATCATCGAAATATCGGTACAAAACTCTATGACAAGGTTCGTTGCGTGTTTCCTATACTGCAGTTCATGATCTGTCTGTGTACTCGTGGACTATGCAGAAAGAACTTAGAAGTGTTTACAGCAGTCATTACAAGACTGAACAGACATTAGTTACAAGGAATTTCAGAGAATTTGACGTATGCGGACAGCAAGATGTTCCTCATTGTTCGGTCTAACCACCAACGTAGTGAGCTGATTGTCCAGGACTCATTTCGGAAAATGCTATTGTTACGCTCCCTCTGTAGCTCGTAAACAGCAACCTGCAAGATTAGTTTCGAAAGGGTTCTTCTGTTTTAACAGTCGGCATT